TTCCAAACCCAAGCATAGTAATGATCCCAATCCACTCTCCCATACTTCGTGGTATCTCTTCAATGTTTCTGCGTACTGGTTGCTCTAACAATGACCCCCCGCGACTGCTCGTCCCAGATCTCGGTTGCCCATTCCGTGAAATAGGGCTGATGATCGTCACAACACCAAATAGCGGAAGCCACCGATGCACATTCAGTCCTGGAATGACCAAATCCAGTCGCCGAAGGTTTTCGGGAGGTACTGGGATGTTAGTGCACACGAGTAGCCGCTCGACATTCCTATCTGGAACGCTCCCTCCCGCTTCTAGGAAAATCTGTCACCGGGCCGCTACAATTTCCTTATGTCGTGAGAATGTGCGGCCTTCAGTCGCAACTGCCGGCCGGGCGTGCCCATGCGGATCCCGCCCATCGATAATGCATGCCACGCCCAACCGTCGACGCATGGCGGATTGTAGCAGATCGTTTGCAATAGTTAACCCTTGAGTAGTTGGACGTACGAGGAGTCGAACCGAGGCAAACGCACCCAGGCGCGAGTGGATTCGGGCCATCTCAATGGACATTGCATTCCGCCGCCGCGTCCCCGGAGGTGCCACATCCCGCAATAGTTTTGCGTGGGTTGCACGTTCAAGCTGTGCAGTCGCATGATATTGCCATCCGTGTCGATGTTCACCGAGGGGCACCTCGCGGGACTGGATTGAGGGCGGTCGTGCTCCAGAGGCCAAGGCAGCCCGCGCAGGGCGATCCTTCCACCCCGTAGCTTCGCTTAGCCGACCTCCGCGTTCTGCAGACATAGCGGGCCCACCATTGTCTCATCGGGTGCCGTGGCGTGGAGCATAGTAAGACGATGCAGCATTTGCTTCACCATTTCCGGAAATTGTCGGATAAGTTCCGGCATCGCATCAGCCCAACTTTCCCAATAGGCCGCCGTGCTCGTGCGGGCTGCACTCCGTGACCCCATCCCGGCCATTCTCACTGGCAGAATTGTTTGTAATACCATTGTGTCGTAACGTATCCCATGTAACCTCACACCCCACGTCGAGTGCGATGGGGTACCGAATGTGGACCGACATGTCTCTAAAATACCTGCGCCATGGGTTTCTGCAAACGGGCTTGCCAATTCGGGTGGCGTGGTGCGTGGGATATGGTTAAACCTGGGCACTGCGCAATAGTACAATAGTAACCAAGCCACTTGCATATCGGAGAGTTTCGTCATCTAGGTAAGCAACTTCGTCCGCACTGCAGTTCGCTTAGCACCAAAGGTAGCAATGCACTCAGGGCTACCAAATGGGGCTCCTAGCGCCCGAATGCCCCGCTCTTCAAGTGGTTTGTCGGACCGCCAAGCGTCTGGGGCCTCAGCAGCAAGCGCTTCTGGACACGCGCTGGCCGAACGGCCCCGCACTGCCAGTTTCCCCGTGTTGGCATCAACGCAGCGTGTTCGCAACAACTCCTCCGTGACATCCTGGAGTATAGGTGTAATCTCGTCTGGGTCGCACACCGCGTAGATGTCGTCCAAAAATGCAAAAATATCCGCCCCTGGTGGGGGATTGTCCCGTATCCGGCATAATGCAGCATGCAGTCCCAGGCAGAATAATGATGACATGAGTGCACCCCTCTGTTCCCCTCCGTCTCCTTGCAGAATCGCGTGCGCATGTCCTCTGCAATCCCGCCGCAGAAACTTAGATTGGGCGCCGCACCGTTGTCTGACGAAGGGCAACAATCCATGCAGCGATTGGTCGCCCATCAGTTGTTCGAACATCCGGGCTCTACTTGCGCGATCGAACGCTCCGACCCCATCGATGCTCAGACTAACCTTGCGTGGGTCAGCCTCCGCGACATATCGTAGGCAGTGAATAGCTGCGTCCGTGCCGCTCGCATTGCGCAGTCCGAAATTAAGCGGCCAAGCGGCAGCTTTAATATTCTGGCCGCGCTGGGGAAGGGCAGAGGAATTGCCTCGATCAAGGAAGTGGGCAGCGCTACGGAAAGGTCCCCCCGTCTTGGGAACCCCATCGGCGGTCCTGGGCGCTTCTTAGAGCGTCTTGCTTGGGTGCGTCGGAAAACTTCTTGGGGCATCTGGGAGATCTCTTGGTGGCCTCTGGGGCGCCAGTTGGGGCCTCTTGGGGCCTCCTGGGCGCCTCTTCGGGCTTTCTTGAAGCGGCGCTCTCGGGGGCCTTGGGGGCGCTCTTGGAGTTCTCTCGGGCCATCTGGGAGTCGTCTTGACGCCTCGGATGGCCGCCAGGAGCGAAAAGGCGAGAAAGCCCAAAACATGGATTTCCCAAAAAGGTTTTGGAAGGATTTTGGTCTCTCTCCTGGGGGAGCTCTTTGGCCACTTGGAGCCGTCTTGAAGCGGTCATGGGGCCTCTTGGGGCATCGTGGGGGCCATCTTGGGGCATGTTGGGATATCTTGAGCCATCGTGGGGGTCATCTTGGGCTTCCCCAGGCGTTCGTGGAGTCATCTGAAGCAGTGCCCCCCTTCCCAGGAGGCTCACATGTGGCCGGAAGCTGAGTGAAATCAATGATTTTGGCATTCTCGCCGAAGCCTCTTGGAGCGTCTTGGGTGCCTCTGGGAGCTCTCTTGGGGCCTCGTGGGGGTGTATTGGGAGCCTCTTGGGGGCCTCTTGGCAGCTTCGCGGGGCCGGGCAGGGCCATCTTGGGGCCATCTCGGAGCCTCCGAGGGCCTCGCGGGCGCATCTTTGGGCCATATAGGAGGAGATCGAAGGCCAAATTAATTCCTCTCCCTCAGGAAGCCCAAATGAAGCCCAAACCCAAATGTATTGAATGGTTTTGGCTTCCTCGCCGAGGCCGTTTTGGACGCTCCAACGCGTCGCGGACCCCCCCCCGCCCAGGTCCAGGGGGGGGGTATTGACTCCTGAGATAGGGGGGCTCGGGTGCCCCGAGCCCCCTCGGGGTGAGCGGGAACCCTTGGTGGCAATGCCAAGAGTCTCGATTTCGCCACCGCGTTCGCGAGATGACAAAGTTGGCTTTCAAGCACTCAACATGAACACATGTAGCGCAGGTTGTGTCCTCCAACGATTTCGCGCGCCAACATATGCGGCGCAAAATGCGAGGGCGCGGGTGCCCCAACGATGGGTTCGAAGCGCTGTCTAACGCAACAATGCCAAACCATGCCAGACAATGCCAAACAATGCCAAACAATGCAATTGCCTGAAAACGCATTCAAGGAGCACGCGGCGCCCGTGGTAAACGAAATCGAGCGCATTTTCACCAAGGTGCAACCACTTCAGCCCCGAGAAAAGCGGGTCTGTATTCTATCAGAGGCGCCTCATTATCGCGACGGCCACGCAACGTTGCGCACCGCAGTGAGCACGGCGCGCTCGCTAACGGCCACTGGGAGCCAGTCCTAGACTTCCCCACGTGCCTATCAGCCCGAGGCAAAGCCCCGCAAACGGAGTGATAACACACAACAACCATATAATATACGGCCCCACGCTGGCCGCAACGAACAACGGGAAATGATCTGCACCGCCCCTAGCCCATTGGCTCCTGGGCCCACCCACCCACCACCCGCCCCCGCCCACCCACCCACTCACGCCACCACCACCACCACCACCACCACTACCACCACCACCACCACCACCACCACCACCACCACCACCACCACCACCACCACCACCACGCGCGCGCACGCACACACAGGCACTTAGCGACGATGCGCATGGCACCAAAACCAGCAGCGCCCCCCCCCCAGCACCACCACCGTAACCACCACCCACCCCCACCCCCGCGGACAAGTCAGCCCAACGAGGGGCCAGAAGGGCCCCAGGTGGGTGCCAGGGGGGCCCCAAGGGGGCCCCGACACGGCCCCATGACGCATGTACTTGGGTGCCCCTCTGGAAAGCCCAATAAGCATATCAAGTGCATACGGTTTGGGGCCCTTTCGGGCCCTCCGAGGCGCTCTCGCGGCCATCTTGGGGCTTTCGGGCTCCTCCAAGACAGGGTGGGGGGGGGCTCCCGAGGGGCCCCGAGAGATGACCAGGAGGGCCCCAAGACGGCCCCAAGAAGGTTCCAAGATAGCCGCCAGAAATGCCTCCCAAAGGTGTCCACGGACCCCCCCTCTGGGGTGTCCAAAAGAGGTCCGTGGACTCCCCCAAGGGGGGGTCCGTGGATTCCTCTGGGGGGGCATTTTCTATGGCCCTCTTGGGCCCTCTTGGGGTCGTGTTGGGACCCTCTTGGTGTCCTCTGGGGGCTCCCAAAATGCTTCCAAGGGGCATCCGAGGAGACTCCGGGTCGTTCAAGAAGCTTCTGGCTCTTCTGTTCGTCCTCTCCCCTCCTGCCTCAGTATCCTCCACATCTTCCTCCTCCTCCAAATTATCCTCATCGTGTTTATCCTCCTACTCCTCCTTCTCTTCATCCTCATCCTCTGCATCATCCTTCTCCCAACTCCCTCATCCATTCATCCAGCCTCCTTCTCCTCCCCACCCCTCCTTCGCATGGTTCGGCTATTCCCTTCTTCGATCCCACACTTCCCTGACCACCTCGAAACTCGCCTGGGCGTCGATCGTGGATGGGCTGGTGGTGACACGCGAAGCGTCAAGAATTTGGAGTTCAAGGCTTCCGCCCGAGGTAGCCCCCCGAGAACACGCCCGAACGGCCATGCGAATCCCCAAATGGACCCCAGAGGCCCCCGCGCGCAGCCCAGAAGAAGCCTTACTACTCTCTCCAGGAGACTGCCAAAGGAGACCCCGACAGGCACCCGAGAGGCCCCAAACCCACAACCCACAACTCAAGCACGGCGGCGGAGTGTGCCGGAGGCCATGGTATGTAATTCGGGTGGCTTCGAAGGAAGGTCATTGTTTCAATAATCGAGCGGGGCGTGTCGTGAGTCGAATCCCGATCGAGCACGCTAGACAAACCGTTTCACCATTGCTATGTGCGTGTGTTGTTTGTTCCATCGCGTTTGCATCCCTCCCTCCATCCCTCCGCGCATCTATCCTGTCGAGCCGCGGCGGCGCAGTGCGGCCTGGCTCAAGACGTGGTGGCAGCCGCCAGGCTGCCCTCCATCAGGTTCTTCACCATCTTGTAGTCGGTGCTGGCCAAGTAGTCGAAGGACTGCAGCATTCCCGTCAGAGCGACGTGGCAGGCCTCGTAGTCGTCCCGACGCATGAAGCTGTAGCGCACCATATCGCAACCGTCGGAGTCCTCAGCGACGAAGGTGCAAACCAAAAGGCCCTCTGGAATGGCTGCGACTGTGCCCTGCTCGACCGTTAAAGCGAAGCCCCGATTAGCAGCGATCTTCATCGCGGTGCGCTTGTCGTAGTTGTTGACTGCCTCGAGCTTCTTCGCCACCGTGTCTCCGTCGACGGCGTCCAGGCTCAACCCGACCAGGTGGATGGCTCCAGAGACGCAGCAAATCACCTCTGGGAGACAGAACGCCGCCACCTTCACTGCACTGTAGCCCCCGTCGTAAACACATACTTGATAATCAACGATCGCCTTCTTCAGCTCCGCATGCTCTGGGGGGAACGTGATGAGGAAGTTCGAAGCAGGCTTGATGCGCGAGCCCATGCCTGCGAACATCTTATCCACGACGTCGTTGAGCTTCTTGTTGGAGATCTCGGTGGCCATCGAATCGAGGCCATCGTTGCTCATGGTAGCCTTGGCCCACTTGACCTGCGTCTGGTAATTGCCAGTGTTTGCTATCACGCCGAGGTTATCGACCTTGAACTTCACCGCCTTGGTCTGGTTGAAGTCGGCCACCTTGTCGCTGACGTTCAGTCCGTCAAGTGAGTGGCCGTCGAGCACGTCGGGCATGAGGGACTCGATCACTGGCGCGTAGCTCTCGTCGCCCCCCTGCTCCGCCCCAGCGTTGAGCCTACTGCGGGCCGCGCTCGACTTTGCTTGGGCCTTCTCCAACGCCTTGTTCTTCTTTTCAACCCCTTTTGCGAAGGCCCTCCACTCAGCCATCCTGAGACGGAACGGCTTCGCGTGACCCTCCTTCGAGAAAAACCGTTGGAAGTCATCCAGGGCGGGCTGCAAGAGGTTCGCCAAGTCACCGACGACGGAACCATTGGGGGCAAGCTTGTCGAGTTGATAAGTCTCCTTCCACACTCTCACATTCTCAGTGTAGGTGTTGAAGGCATCCTTGGCATTCGCCTCGAACTTGGCGTTATCCTTGCGGGGGCCATCGTGATTCCATCGGGGCCGCATCGTGTCTCTTCCTTGCCAGGCTAGGTCGCCCGGCCCCGCCCCGCGTCGCCCCCCCATGCCTCTCCCCACCGCCGTTCGCCGCCATGCCCCATCTCTCGCCTCCCTGCCCCGTGCCGGAGCAAGGTCGGGGAGGGAGTGAGAGATGAAGCGTGGCTCGGTAGAGCTTCAGACAGGGTGGGGGAGGGAGGGGGGAGGGGGAGGGCGGGAGACCTACCTGGCTCGGTAGAAACACGAGTTGGCCCCAAGAAAGCTTGATGGGCCCCGCGGCCTCTTTGGTCGTCGTCGCGTCTTCTCCCTCCATGGCGGACAGGTCCATCTCGGGCTGCGCGAAGTCGTTCCGCAACCTCGCGATGCTGGAGTTCAACTTCGCCGACTTCTCGATCAGGCACGTCTTGAGGGTCGTGTAAGCAGTCCTCTGGGCACTGGGTGATTGCCTGGCCTGCTCACTCTGCTCCTGCTGCGCCTGGGCAATCTTCTGCATGTCATCGGCCACCTCCTCCATCATGTCGGCCTCCTCCTGAGCTTGCCGTATCTGTTGCTGCATCATATCTTGTTGAACGGTTTGCTGCATGACCGCTTTGCTGAGGGCGTTCGTGATGGACTCGGAGGTGTTAGAGCCGATGGTGTCCACCTGCTTCGCTTCAAACGGAATGGCCGTCATCGAGATGGGGCGCGAGAGCTTCAAAGTACGCCAGAATCGATCCATAGACTTCAGGTTATCCTCCACCGCAGCGTTCAAGTCGTCGGCGTTGTTGCAGATCTTCTGACGCTTGACGCGGGAGGTGGCCATGTTGTTCTTCACGTGGTCGACAATGGCCACCCGAGCTTTTGCAATGAAGACTTCGCCGCTCTCGTCCGTGATCTTGTCCTTCGATTTCGCCACGTATTCTTCCAGTGCTCGATGAGCTGCTCTTCTGTCCAGTCGGGGTGCTCTTCCACAACCGTGTCGTAGCCAAAGTATTGAGCGCGATCTCTTTGCTCAATACCCCTACTCTGGGACTCCTCTTCCTCTGCCATGATATGATCCTCGGACATCTGGCTGTACTTATCCTTGGTCTTCATCTTCTTGTACCACGCCTGCTCTCTCTTGGGATCTTTTTGGAGCTCCTTCCACCACTTGCAGAGCTTGTCGTTCGGGTCCTTCTTCTTGACCCTGCGCTCCATATTCCGCTTATTGGATGCACATTTGAGATCAATTCGAGACGTTCTGATTTCTTCCTGTCGCAGAGCTGGCTGCAAGGGTAGTTTCCTCACCACACTTCACGCACGTGTACTTACTGAGCGCCATGGACGGCGAGTGGGCGAATGGGCCCTCGTCACGCGATGTGTGCCCGAGCACGGCGCACGCTCCCGAGCCAAATAGCTTGTTACGAAGACCCCAACACACCCGAGAGGCGACCAAGCGGGCCCCTAGCGGGCCACTGCGCGGCAATGCAAACCAACTCAACGGCAATGCATGAGTTGGTACTGACTATTCCCTTGGTCTCCATGGCCCATGACGGCCCTCACGGGGGTCTCGCGTCCACTCTGGTCCCTCGCGGGGGGCTTTCTGAAGAAGGGCTTCTGGGGCCTCTGCTCCCCCTGGAGCCTTCCTGAAGAAAGCCTTCTGGGGCCTTCCTTAAGTTCTCGCAGGGCCCTCGCGGAGCCCCCCTGAAGTTCTCTCAGAACCCCGCCTAGAAGCTAGTCGCCCCGAAGCCTCTGGAGGACGCACTTCAGGGCCCCCCGTCAAGAGATTGGAAGAGGAGGGGAGGAGAATAATGAGGAGTGTGTGTGTGTGTGTGTGTGTGGGTGTGTGTGTGTGGTGTGTGAGAGGAGGGGCTGGGAAGAGTTGGAAGAGGAGGAGAGGAACAGTCCTGCGCTTGGGGCTTGGAGAAGGGCGTGGAGGAGGGGAACCGTCCTGCGCTTGGGGCTTGGGAAGAGATTGGAAGAGGAGAGGAGGATAAGGAGTGACGATATGGCTGTGGCCCCTGCTGGGATGACGCGCTGCAAGGCGCACTATCTGGAACACAACTTGCGCGCGCAGTCGCGCAAGGACGCTGCCAGCTCTTGCCGCGCTCGCTGGCGGGCTGGAAGCGCTGGGCGGTGCCTCCACTCACGGCTAGATGCTGGCCGTCTAACCCTTCTTGACCGACAGAGCCCCCTGCTTCCACCTCTTGCGCTTGTTCTCGGGATCGTCGCTCTTGTCGATGATGCGCTTGAGCCCCGTGGAGACCCCGATGTGCTCGAAGATGGCCCACTTCCCCATGATCAGCTGCGCGAGGAGCACTCCAGCCATGCCAACGGGCACCATGTTGCCAAAGTGGATGGTGTGCTGGTGCCTGCTGCAGACCTCGTCCACGCTACACCACTTCACGCCACACACTGCTGCCCGCCCCTTGATGTCCAGGAAGCGGCCGCCCTCTGGCACCTTGGACGCGTCGGGGCCCCTACGCAGGATGTAGAGGTGGAGATTCACTGTCCACGTGGATGCTGTGTCCGCGCCCGTGCCCTGGACCCGCGCGGGAAGCATCGATGACGAAGTGCATCGTGGCATTCGCGGGCACGACGATCTTGCCGTCCGAAATCTTCTTGTCGAGCTCGGTGTTGAACTTCTTGATGTTGCTCTTCTGCGTCTCCGTGAGGCCCCTGGTGGCATGCTCCTCCACGTCGTCGGTGGTGTAGAGCATCTCTCCGAGCTTCACCGTGTCGTTCCCGAAGGTCCTCAGCTCCTGGGGCATGCCGCCAACGACGTCGGCGTAGTCGAGCTTGTAGGCCACTGCGAAGCAGCGCTCCCTGTGATGAGGTAGAAAACACCTCTCAGCATTTACCTTCCATGGGAGAAGCATCGTCCAGCCCAGCCGAGCATGTTGTTCTGCCACCACTCCTGCACGAAGTCCCATGGGCGCTTCTGGGTCTTGCCGTTCAGACTCATGATGTGCCGCGCGTTCTCCTGGAGTGCCCACTTCAGCGGCCGATCCTTCCGCCGCGCCAACTCCTTGATCGCCTCGAGCTGCCTGATGAAGAGACTCCCCTGGTAGGCAAAGAAGTTCTCACCGTTGCCAGCCTTGGAGAAGGTGATGCATGGAGCTGTCCCAATGCAGCCATCGCTGGAATCGAGCGTCTGCGGGGGGTACGACTCGATGGCTTGGGCCACGCGATGTGACCTGGAAGGCGCCTGAGCACCGCGCAGGCGTCCGGCCGCTTCTCCGCGATGTTGACGGGCAGCGCTGGCCAATCACCTTCCAGGGTCGCTCGGTCTGGTCCTCCGATCCCTGCGAACAAGAACGACACCTTCTGGGCATTCGAGTAAGTGGGGAGCTCGATGCCGAGCTTGGCGCAACGCGGTTTCCACTTCGCATTGTGGCGCACGGGGCTGTCCTCAGGGAGGCGCACCACCATCGCAATAGCCTGAGCGCCAAAATCGCACAAGGGCAGGCGGTGAACGAAACACATATACTTGAGCCACTAAGGCTGAACCGACGGTGGCTGGGGCCCCTGTGGCCCCATTCATTGAAAATTATGATTTCTCTGTGGGAAAGCTCTTTGGAGACGCGACACTCACCATTCACTCTGTGTCCACGTAGGCAAGACGGTCTCTTTGGCACACCTGGGGGTCACGGGGCGCGGCGTTCGGGGTGCCATGGGGAGCTCCCGGAAAGCTCCAAGCTGAGTCTCATGAGGGCTCCACGTTGACCCCAGGGAGTCTCTGGTACACCTGAAACGGCCCAACAACCTCCGAGTGGTCGCTGATGATGGAGACGATGGTAATGATGATGATGATGGTGGTGATGATGATGATTGCGATGACAATGATGCTGCTGATGATGATGATGATGATAATGATGAGAAGGGATATGCGCCCTAGAACGGTGATTCTGACGAACTGTTCGGCAGGCGCAAACCCACCGAAAATCACCAAACTAGAGAGGCTGCGTGCTTGCCTCCGCGGCCATGTTCAGATCAACGGCCTTCCAGAACGAGGTCCGCTCAAAGCTAGAACGTTACCAAGGTCATCTACCATGACCGTAACACAACGCTTCAACCCGAACAATAACCCAAGATGGCCCATGATGGCCTCCAAGTTCGCCCAAGATGGTCCAGGACGGCCTCCAAGACGGCCCAAGGGGGCCCAAGATGCCTCTGGGGGCCCTCCTGGAGTCCTAACCCTCCTTCTCGCGTTTCGGGGTCCTCATTTCCTCATCCACCCCCTTGGCGTCATCATCCATCCGTCATCGATGTCCCTCCAAGCCTCCAGAGGCCCCGTTGTCGCTCCAGTGTCGCTCCAGCGTCGCTCCAGTGTCGCTCCAGTGTCGCTCCAGTGTCGCTCCAGTGTCGCTCCAGTGTCGTTCCAGTGTCGCTCCAGCGTCGCTCCAGTGTCGTTGGGCCCCCCTCCGCGCCGAAGCTGCAAGAATGATGCGAATGTGCGCCCTCGCTTCGCGATGGCTTCAAGACGGCCAAAAGGCTTCAAGATGGCAGGATGGCTTCACGATGGCCCAGGATGGCTTCAAGACGGCCAATAGGAGGGTCAAGAGGCTGAAGAGGATATGTGGTGAAGGGAACGGGGGGGATGCTATCGGACGGGCCGTCGCTGCATGTTATCGTCACGACTGCTTTGAAGAGCGTGCGAATAGGAGGAAGAGGATCTTTGGTTTATGATACTGTTGTTGTTTTTTCAATGTGTTCTTACTGCTCAGGTGATTCACCCCCCCAGGATCGGCAAGACGGGACCGTGCTCGCGCGGGGGCGATGGCTCGCTGTGTCCTTGGACGTGCTAAGCGGTTGCCAGATGAGCTGGCACTTCAAAGAAACTGCCTTCTGGCTCTTCGGGGAAGCCGTCCTCTCCAAAAAAATGTTGCGCAGCAGCATACTCTAGAAAGAACGACTGCGCAAGGGCATGCTCTGGGCCCTCTGGGCTCGAGTCGATGATCTGCGGCGGGCTCTGCATGTCCTCTGGCCTAGCCCTCGGCTCCACCAGTTGCTGGCTCTGCATATCCCCGGGGCCACTCCTCGAATCGATCGGAATCGGCTGGCTATGCGCATCCTCCAGCCCACTTCTCGGCTCGACCAACGGCTGGCCTGGCACGTCCTCGGGGCCACTCGTGCACGGGAACAACGGCTGGCTGAACATGTCATCGGGGCATATCCCATCGATCGGCGGCTGGCTCTGCATGTCCTGGAAGGCCATCGTCGATTCGAACTGCGGCTGGTTGACTATGTCATCGGGGCACATTTGCTCGCTCTGATTATCACCCTGCCCAGTATGAGCTATGTCAAGGGTCTGAGCATGAACTGGACCAGCCTCAATCTTTTCGACGACGGGATCAGGTTGGCCAGCTCCTGTCGCATCACGGGGGGGTGGGGATGACCTTGACTCGACGAGCGTATCGCCCTGGCGCCAGCTTGACTCGACCAGCGTATCGCCCTGGCGCCAGCTTGACTCGACCAGCGTATCGCCAGCGCACAGCCTCCTCAGCTTCTCTGGCCTCTGCTGAGGCCCTGTCCCTGACATGCTCCCCTGGGGTCCGTGGGCAGCCGAACGATCATGGCCTGAGTCTCGAACCCACCAAGCTACTGAAGGCATGTGATGATGATGATGTAGGATGGCGATTGTTTTGTCCTGCGTTAGTTTGCCTTAACTTACCTTGGTATTGCCTTGAGATTACCTGAGATCGTTCGCATTTGACTTGCCTCCAGCCTTCCAAGGGGGCGTGTAACGCAGGCCTCATTTTGCATGTGTGGTCGCGTGAATTCACGTTGTGTTTGGTACGTTGTCTTCTGGCTTTGCTTGTGGCTGTGCTTGCAATGGCTAGAACTTAATAACGCTTCTGGCTACGATTTCAATCGGGTTCTGGTTCGGGGTGTCTCGTTTATGTCAGAAGGACGCGGGTC